CTAAAGTCATGGATGTTAATTTTAAAGTTACTGCTTCATATCTTATTTATACAATTTTTATTTATTAATATTTTTGTTTACTATTTGTATAAATAGGAATTTAGTATGCAAACTTGTTTCTCTAAACCTTATTTTCACATGATTGGATTGTAGTCAGTGATTTGGTTTGAGAATTGGTTAAGGCACAAAAGTGTAGAAGAACATGAATTGAAAATGCTAGATGATTAATTGTCATAAGATTTTACTCTTCAGTATAATATTTATTAAGTACTAACTATGTTTTAGTTGCTATACTAGGTGCCTACTATTGTTAACATTTTTTAATGTTTTTTTTTTCCTCTCCCCAGGGTAAAGTTAAACCATATGTTAATGGTATACCTCCTACATATTCTAAGGAAGATTTAAAACCCTGGGAAAAGTCACCAATACTTAAAATATCTGCTCCGCAGCTCATTCCCAGTAACAAAATTGATACTACCAGCTCTTCCAGTTGGGTTGCTGGCTCTTTCAGGTATGATTTTCATTTTGTTCTGTACCCGTTTTTCTGAGAGATATCATTAATTTTTAGTCAAATTTTTAATGAAGCAAATTTAAAAAATATTAATATAAATTGCCAGTACACAAAAAAATATGTAACTGCATGTATAAATTGCTAACCATATATTAAATAGGCTTTTTCCTCCAAGCAAAATTTAGCTGCCTTTGTACTATCATCAGTGAATAGTAGCAAGTACTGTAATATACATATATATATATATAGACTTAATATCAGCAGTTTTTTTCTTTGATAATATATATTGGTTAAAGTCCTACTCAGGAAGACCATTTTGTCATTCACAGACTTGTGTTATCTTTGTAGCACATTAAGGGGTATTTAAAATCTCACAAAATGTATTGTTATTTACAATGAATTTTCAGAGGCTATTCGTGTAATGTTATGTTGTCCTTTTAATTTGCCTATATTTTATACATTATTTTATTTAGAAAAGTCAAATGAAGGAGTAGATATAATTAGAATGCAATATTCTTTCAAAGTGTTTATTGCACTTGTGCTTCATCTGTATATGCCTACTGTGGTTGCTAACAGACTAAAATTGTTAATTGACTTATTGAATATATAATCAGCTGGACCATTTGTGTAATTCTTTTGAAATACACTGTAGTTTGCACAGTTGCAACAAAGATCATGATGTTCTAGTTTACATGGCTTCATGGTCTAAAAGTAGTTGAGGCCAGATGCAGTGGCTCTCTGGGAGGCCAAGGCAGGAGGGAGGTTGCTTGAGGCCAGGAGTTGGAGACCAGCCTGAGCAAGAACAAGACCCTGTCTCTACAAAACAAATAGAAAAATTAGGCAGGTGCAGTGGCGTGTGCCTGTAGTCCCAACAACTTGGGAGGCTGAGGCAGGAGAATCACTTGAGCCCAGGAGTTTGAGGTTGCAGTGAGCTATGATGATGCCACTGTACTCTAGCCCAGGCAACAGAGCAAGACTCTGTCTCCATAAAATAAAAGTAGTTCAGAAATTAGTTTCAGTATTTTTTTTTGCCTTTCTAAGTAAATAAATTGGGGCATACTTAATTCGTGAGAACATCTAGAAGCTTCTTCTTATTGCTAATGTTAGAATATTTTGTTAAACATGTTTTAAAGATAGCTTGGTATAAAGTCAACAATATAGGTTGTCTGTCTATTTCAGTGCCATGCCCATTGACAAAGTGTGCAGCAATATGAAATAAACATTCTCAATATTAACATATAGACAAACATTTCCACATTCATTCTGATGTATTGTCTGGTGGGAATAAGAAGTAGAATTTCTTTTTAGCGGAAGAAAATAAACAGGTTACTCCTTTAATATGTAATGATACAACTTATTTTTAGCTATATCATAGATTTCATTTAGATCAGAAATCATCTATTTCTAAAGATTGTAGAATTTTTTTCTCATTATGTACAACTCCCTTTGGTGAGTCTCCAATATCCTCAAGTTTTTCTATTAAATGTCTGTTTTTGTTAATATTAGATAGTAGTGAGGATTTTATTTGTTAAAAATAGAAAGAAAAGAATATAATTTCCAAGCTTTATTCATCCTAAAGGATAAGAATTTAATTAGAACTTTGGTGAGTTCTACCTGATTTAGATAACTTAAGAATCTTTCTATTGTTTGACTTTTTTTTTCTTCTTTTATATAAGAATTTCAGTTTTATCACTTAACCTTATGACTTTGGATGCATTTTAGTTGATTTGTGTATGTATATGTAAAAATAACTTTTTTTTAAATTATCCTTTGTAAGGTTGGCCATAGCTGACAAAATTACCTAAATTATACTCTAATTATCAATCTTACATATAATTTGCAGTTTAGTGAAGTTTGGAGGTTGGGCTTTATAGGTAGATGAATGCTTTATAAAGTAACTTTTTATGTCTTTTAGTCCTGTCAGTCCTCCTGTTGTGGATCTCAGAACCATCATGGAAATAGAAGAAAGTAGACAAAAATGTGGAGCTACACCAAAGTCAAATTTAGGGTTGGTTAAAACAATCATAAAAAAGATCATTTTGTGTTGTATTTCTGTCCTAAGAATTAGAAAGACCTATTGGATCTTTCCTATTATTTTTCTGCATTTGATGTCATAGTTAATTATAAGTTCTTTTCTAGTGAATTTAGCCTCCATAATATTATTTCTTAAGTATATGCTAAAGATAGCATTGTTGATAGACCAGTTTTTGTGGAATACAGTATTACAGCCAAAAACTTGCCTCTAAAATGATCTTTGTGGACTATTTCTAAAGAAAAACCAAAGATTTAAGACTTGTGATACAAGTTTGCCTTGAAAAGTATGATATATTGGATGGTTCATATGGTTATTAGTCATTGTTAGTATAAACTGATATTATCACTTTTAAAACTTGTGAAAATTTTGATCCAATACTAGTAAAATTACATCAAATAAATAGTAAACATTATTATCTGTGACCTTTATTAAGCAAAAAATGCTAATTGATTTAATTTAATTTCTAACAAAATGATTTCTCATGCAATTAAACTTTCTCAGAAGAAACCAGGGAAACTAATTGGTTTAATTTCTAGCAAAATGATTTCGCATGGAGTTAAACTTTCTCAGAAGCAACGAAAAATGATTGCATTGACTACCAAAGAAAATTCAGGAATGAATATCATGGAAGCAGTTTTAACCACTCCTTCAAAAGCCCCCAAACCAGTGAATGCATGGTATGCTCCTTTTTTTTATTAAAATTAGTATAGATATGTGCATTAGTTTTCAAGGTAGTTCTTGGCTTTTGAGTCCCCCCACCCCCATGTTTCTAAAGTCTTTTCAAATATTTCATCCTCCACCCCCTTGCTTTTAGGTTAAATTAGAACTTGGGAAACAAAAGAATACTTTTTGCTTGTTTGTCTTATTTTAATATGGGATGTTTTGACATATACATCATGGTTTTCATTGGAGACCCTCACTCCCTATGTCTGTTATCATAACCGTATCTTTGATTGTTGATCTCCTTAGTCTGTAATTTTCTTATGAGAAATAAAATATAGATAAATTTGATAAAAGAAAACTAATTTCTTTATGTTACCCTAATTTCTTGGTCCTTCTGCAAGTATCATAAATATCTTTACATGATTTTAATCATAGCTTGTTATCGTTACTTGTTTAAACAGTGCTATTTACTTAACATTATGTCATACAAGTTTTCTCCATTAGAATTTACCCATAGTGGCAGCATTAATAGGAATAATATCCAAAGAGGTCAGATAACAATTTTGAGATGTGTAAAATAGGTTGTACTTCCTGCTTCCCTTTCATCCTTCCTTTTTCTTTGTAATAACTTATATGATAATATCTGGAAATCAATTCTAGAGAAGTATGTGGATGCCGCGAAGTGCAAGGAAGTGATCAATAGAAGAACCCTCTTTCTTTCACAGGGATTTGGGAGGATCTTGGCATCTTGGTTTGGAGGAATCCCTTCAGTGTTACTAATGCCACATTGTTCTCTTTGTAAGAGGGAATATTTTTCTCAATTAAAATGTGGATTATTTTGAAGAAAGTGGTTAACTAGTTTTATTCTGAGTGCTACTATTGGAACTAAATCAGTGTCTGTCAGGGCCACTAGTAGATCCAAAGCATGGTCACTGAAAAGAAAGTAAAACAAGATGTGGGGAAACCCAAGTTAAAAGGATAAAACTTGAGAGAATGGACTTAACAGAATTTTTAAATTTATCAATATTTGTTAACCACCATCTTTATCTAAAGCACTGTGCTAGGTTCTGATGATAAGGCAATAAACAAGACAGATTTGGCCATTGCCCTTGTAGGGTTTATGGTGTAACTGTTGCAATACTGAGTTCTGCTGTCCCTAAACAAAAGTATGGAAAGACCAAGAGAGAGAAAGAGTTCTTCGAATAGCTGTCAAAACACCAAATATATTGCAGTTTGGGAGAATTAACTAATAAGCATGTGACGAAGCTTTGGGTTTAGTAATATAGTTTTAACCATGCCATCAGTCAGTTTCCATATTTAAAAACAAAAAGTAAATGAACAAAAGAAGTTTTACTTGTTTTCTTGAAGGCATCTTCCTTAGTGCCACATGTTATTCTGTGGTCTGAACTGGGTCTTTTCCAGGCCTACTGAATATCTGTCATCTTGGTACTTTCCTTGTCATCTTGGAAATTTTCTTCTCTTCCCTCCATTGTTTGATCCCCAGTTTCCTAGATTCTGTGTTTTTCTATTTCTTGGTTTACTCCTTGTTTTGAGGTAGCACAACTTCAGTAGTTTTCTGATTAAAGGTACATAGGACATATGTTTTTGGAGTTCTTATATCCATGAAATTCTCTCCTTTATTCTTGACTGTTAGATTGGAACAGGATTCTAAATTGGAAATTATTTGGAGAATGTATTCCCCCTCCCCCACTTTTTTTTTCCTTGTTGCTTTTGGGAAATTGAATACTATTTAATTCCTGATTGTTTTTAAGTTACCTCCTGTTTCTTTCCCTCACCTTTCCCCTCCCTCCCCCCAGAAGCTTATAGGGTCTTTTCTTTATCCCTGGTGTTCTGAAATTTCACAGTAATGTATCATGCAGTTAGTCTTTTTTGATACATTGTGCTGGGTACTTGGGCTCTTTTAATTGGGAACAGAAGAATGTCTTTAAGTTCTAGGAAAATACTATGTACTATTACTTGGATAGTTTTT